CTATTTCGATTAGTCGAATCAGTCTGCTCACCATCACAAAGATGTTATGATCAACTTTCCACCGTACTCACGTATCCGTTTCTAAAACAGAAAACTAGTGCATACGCCATTTGTCTTTAAGTGAACAGTGGAACTCATCACAGATGCGCATCTACCTGTAGCATTGACCGCCTTTCTGCCTAACGCCAACATATTGAATGACATCTCAGGAACACATATTGACCACACCAGAGTGAACCATGTAGAATCAATGTTCTCTTGTCAATGCAAAGAGTGTTAGTCACGTTGACTGTCAAGCCGTGTGATAAGTAAGCTGGAAACTTTGTATCATTTCTCTCAACACATCAATCACTTTGAAAATAAGTCGAAAGATATATTTTTGTTAGTTGAATATTTTCGGCGGATGCTTCGCATTCGAATATTATACGCCAAACCCCATACTGGTTTCCGTCTAGTTGCTCCGTTCTAGTTGCTCCTACCTAGCTTTGAATAAATGGGAACGTCAGAAAAACAAAGTGAAACGCAAAAGATCAGCCAGTTATCTAGTGGTGACTTTGCAACCGCGCTAATCTAAAATGTGTTGAATCTGTGAGCGTTCTAATTGTGGTGTTTAGCCGTTTTTGAAAGCATGAAATACGTTTGTTTGGCGTCCGACCAACTGAGGCTAGCAATCGTCCTATCTTTTATTGGTCCATTAAACGGACGATAAGTAACGGAACTGTAAGCTCACTGCTGAAGATTGTCACACTTCCGATCTTTATTGCAACTGGTTGCACGACTGACGCTAATTATGTATCCAGAATAGGAATGATGCTTCGCATGTTCGCCTCCATTGCTCGGGGGATAGAGCACTGTTCCCATTAGTCATGGATAGGGAGTTCGATCCTCTCTGTAGGCGTTTTCGTTGGATCCGTTCGAACAACACAGCCGTTATTTATCCAGTATTGTGCATCGTGGGCTATAATGAAGGTAAGCTAGCCAAGGGTGACGCTTACAATATCGAAGTACGTAAATCTGTATATTCACCACATTTGCCGTCACTTGCTGACAGATAGTTTGGAACAGCTACTACCTGCACAATGTGCCGATATAAATTTGACTGTTTTTTAGTTTTACATTTCTCATCTGTCCAACATCCAAATTTGAACAATGAATACCGTAGACGGGAATTTGTACCAATCAACTTAAAAGCATAATATTCTGGTTTCGTACAGTTTGAAATGTATAGAAGTACACAGATTGCCCGCCTACGTACATGTTTGGCAACCGCGTTTATCAATGCACCAATTATCGGAAGCAAGAAGAGACCAAATTATTACGTTACGTTACAGATTTACAGTGCTTGGGTTGCTTGTTTCTTTCGAGTGTAAACCCAAAATCTGTCTCAGTAATGCTAACAAGTAACCTCACGATTAAGACATCTGTGTATAACAAATGTGTAACAATGTCCCAGCACTTATTCTGTATCGGTATTGACAACCATCTATAACTCCATGTAAACATACCCACCTCAGAATTAAGCACTGATGCGCTCTCAGTTGAATGGGAGCTGCGGTACTGAGAGACGGACTCTGATGTAGTAGGCAAAGTGATCTCAACACAACTTCTCCTGATGTGCTTTTGAAGAAGACGATGGTTCCAACTCAAAATATTTCAGCCTTCCTCCAGGTCGATACCAGCAGCAACCAGACACAAGAGGAACTATTTTTAAACGTAGAAATGTATATGCCAAATAGGCAGGCAGTGTCATGGTACCTCTAACTGCAGGATCTATAGTTGTTGCTTCGCAACTTCTCCTAGCAGATTGACAATCTTGTGAAACCGGATATTAGTGCTTCTCAGATCAATTCAACTAGCACATACACGTGTTCCTCAATTTTCACATATGATATCTTCTATACTGAATTCAATTAAATCCGCTGGTGTGTATGTATATGTTACCATGACTTATCAAATCGACCAGTTCGTCAACTGCCACCCCAGTTCCACCTGCACGCGTTGGTCAGTACGCGCAACTGATCAGCTCAAAGATGGGCGCCCACAATCCAAGACATGTTATCAATGTTTACGGTACTATATAGTGTTAAGTTACAAACAAACATCTTTAGCCAAAACGTCTAGCTGTATAATTTCATATCGATTGAATACTGATGAGTAGTAAGGGATTTTGGTTTTCATATCGATTGGACATCATCCACATGGTTGCCTCATGAAATGCGTGGCCGGAGTTCTAGTCCCGGCAATGGCGAGGATATGCACTGCTGACGAGCTCTAATGAGAACGAAACTAGAGTCTTGTGCTTCTTTTCGAAAGAGACCGACTGAAAACGTTTCTCTATACAATTTCATCAACGCATGCTCCCTCATCCGTCTGTCTTGACAGTAATATTTACAAGAAGTTGCAAACGAAAACAAACGGACCAGTTGTAACATCTTAGAGAAGCTGTAGCAGGGTAGAATATGAGGGGCAGATTTAGTGGGACCACAGTGCTAAACGGAAACACATATTGAAGTTAACCTTTCCTAGAAAGCAAAGTTGTCTCGTGCACTTGGTTACCTACATGTTGACCGAGTTCCGTAAGATAAAGATGTGTCGCAGGAAGAGACCACCTGTGGAGATGACAATAATGCCATCCTGTCAGATGTTGCAGATTGATAAACGTCCTGCATCTAGCAAAACTTGTCAGGTTGATGTTCAAAATTGATGATGAGACGTTGCACATTCACCATAGGTCAGCAGATAGAGCAGTGGCCTCGTAAACTCGTGGTCGGGAGTTCCATTTTCTCGGATGGCAGGTGCAACGGCCGGTTTTTTAATTAAACGACAGTCTTCAATTGATGTCGCACATACTTTGCCATGGCCAAACTTGGCGAACCAACGAAAATGTTAGCTAACATGATGATTGCTCAGTGAGTGTCTAAGTAGGAAGGAATTTCTGATGTTTTACCGGAATATTCCACGTTGTGCAACATAAAAACCAACCACCAAGTCCCTTCAACCTCATGCCGGGGATAAAAGAGACTCGTGTCCAGCAAAGATCGATGAATTTACCTGATAAATTAACCAGTCTCAACTGTTGGGTGCTATCGAATCACTCCTGGAAGAGGAGATGAACGTGTTTGAGCAGTATTTACAGTCGAAAATAAAACAGGGAGATGAAAAGGAGAGAACTAATTTGATTAATGGATTGGACCCTGTCACGTCATAAGCACAGTTCCCAAACTATACGACCAACATCCTCAAAACGTCTTATCTCAATTACCGAAGGACTCCGAATCGACAGGGGCCGGAAGAAAAGTCTCCAGCTGATGCTCTGAGAGGACGCAGATTACGAACATCGAATGATCTGCTATATCCTTCCAGACCGCCGGTGGCAAACAGGAATCTTTCTACGGAACAATTGTTTAATAGAAGACATGGTGCTCAGTTCCGTTCCTTCGAAGTTGGTCAACCGATACTGGCCAGAGACTACCCGGGGATAGAGATTGCATGGACACTCGAGAGAATTCGATGACGTAGAGGCACAGGGCTCTATGAAGTTCAAGTTGGCCCACACAATTGAACACGGCATACCAACCAGATCAAACCATTTGCAGGACAAATGGCCCATTCAGAGAGTCGAGGTCTGCCGCTGGAAGACATACTGGACAATGCCAAAAGTCAAGAGACACGCCGAACGTTTAGGTTCAAGAGAAGTCACCGGACGCTGCAAACACCACGACGATCAAGCTGCACAAGGGCCGCTGTGATACCACTCCAATTGAATCCTCACTCACGTACGTACGACCAACGAGCTCAAATGGGAGGTGTTAGGAGGCGTATCTCTTAACGAGACAGCCTGGACGTGTCACGCCATATCAATCGACTGGTCCAGTTCGGATGGTATGGTCGTGGATGGTGGTATGGTCCATTCAGCCAATCAGATTGGAGGTGTGCGGTGTTTTCCTCGCGTCGCCTTATCACGCCCCCTGTAACGTGATTTGTTCTGACTCCCTGACTGCCATATATGACTGTCTCATTTGATTTGCTTTGTGTCTGTCGACTACCTATGGTAATAGTTTTGTCCTATAAATCTAGAGCTTCTGTGGCCTAAGTTTTGTCTCGTCTCGCTCGTCCAATAAACAGTGCAGCCAAACTACAAACCAACGGACTACGTCACATTGCTGATATTTGCTGTTCCTATAGGTGCCACGTAGACGATATATTTTGCTTAATAACTGACGAAGATGGTATACGGTCTCTACTAGCTGACTCCAATCGTGCGCACACCAATATTGCATTCACCATCAAATTAGAGATGAATAACCAACTATCGTTTCTAGATATTGTCATGCTTCGTAGAATTTATGGATCATTTCAAAGAGCATTTCATAGAAAAAACATGAACTGGCCAGGACACGCAATTCTTCAGCATTGTCCCGCCGAAGTATAAACGGAATTCTGCTTACTGTTTAACAGGCAGGGCCAGAAAGATATGCACATCAGATACTCTATCGGATGAACTCCAGCACATTCGAGATGTGTTGAGTCAAAATGGATATCAGCAACGAGTCCTGGATAGAAACATACAAACAAGAGTGAAGCATGAAATTGTTCTGACTGTGGGTAAAACGCCTGTCTTTATCACCCTATCACACAAGGGGGAAGCTGCCAGTGAAATTATCACCGGCCGAGTTTGCAATGCAGTTTGAGAGTGGCTATTCTGCAGCGCGGCTCTTCTTATCTTTCAATGCCTGCCCGAAAATGATGCCACACTCCAACCATTGCTTGCCCAGGTTTTCTTTGTTCATGTTGTGCTTATTTTCTCACCTGTTATTGCCAAGCCGCTTACGTTGGAAAGGATTCGTGAACGCCTCTCAAAGTCTATTTCCAGTACAGTCGGTTCTCATCTAATTGACACTGGTCATCAAATTGAGAAAGATGAAGCCTTCCGAGTCATCTACAAGGTTTGTCAAACCCACCCCAGAGCTGTCAGATTACGACTGTAATCAACAGCCAAGGCTAATGCCATCAGACTCTACAACCCTTGCCTGTGTGCCCAAAAACAGTTCGTGCAAGCCCTACATCTCCATTGGACAACTATTCCACAGCCTCCTGAAACCTAAGCAGGCATGAACCACTTGACACCGACGAATGCATACCTCACGACAGGCAAGAGTGATAATGTCATACATTCACCAACACTCCCATTCCCCTGCAGTAGACTGTGACCTGTCTTACGTCTATGATTTTAATGACCTATTTGATCTACTCTAATTTTCCAAATATCAAACACATGTTTCCTACCTAATTGTAAAAGCCCGATGAGAATTACCGAAAATAGCTGTTCGCATAACTGACTTCTTACTGGAAACCGTTGGATCAAAAAATCACCTGACTTTCCAGTCCCTACACGGCCACTGCATCTAGAAAGGCAGTTGGCATGTTGTGTATATTTGGACAGCCGATATTAGAGGTCATAGGAGTGATACTGGTGCAAACCCATGAACGAACACAAATTATTAACAGTCTTCGGATTGGAGATTTTTAACAGAAATGAAAATCACACAGTATCAGGTCGGAACCCGGTTTCATCAATCAATTCTCCCGGACAGAAGACCTCTGAATAACAAAATGACATTCCGCAGGATTAACAGCACCAATATACGCAAACAGAACTGCAAGTAACGCAAACAGTCTGCCATCGGACAGTGTATTACGGATCACTGTCGCAGTCTCAACCACCCGTCTGCGGATTTTCACTTCAGATACCACTTATTGACTCGGTCCATGTCTCGTGTGAGGCCATGGGGAAATCACCGGTGATTATGCGAACAAATTATTCCGTCAGTAGTGATACAGACCATGACCACAGCATCAATGTTGATGGCACAACATAAGCGACATACCGATGAGTAA